GGGGATTGAACCGTGGTCCCTGTGCTTTGCTAAGCTTGTTCTAAGTAGGTGCTTTAGACCACTGAGCCATCTCACCAGCCCAGGAGTGACTTCTGTGTGCGTGAAAAGATGCCCAAACTCACCCTCAGGCTGATCGCTGCCTTCGAAGCACTGGTCACTTTTCCACTCTGTAGCTACTTTACAATAAGTTCTACACAGACTTCTGCATGGCCTCTGTGTCTGAATTATTTCACCAAGGGCGGCAAGAACCAAGGGTCAACAACGTGATGGGCCAGTTCCTCGCTGCATCAGGACTTGGCTTCGCAGTGACACTTCAGCCAGGGTCAGGAGGGGTCTGCATAAAGAGCTGCCCCTTGGTGGGCTTGGTGGGCCTTGGTGGCAAGGGGTAGAGAGCAGTTTGAAAGAGGAGACACTGCAGCTGGGAGCCTCGCTGGGCCTCCCCGCTTAGCCAACAGGCTGGCCCTGGCAGCAAGCCTTGGAAGTCTTTCCAGGCGCCATGGGATCTAAATATTGCATGCAGTCTGAATGTGGACGGTGTAGGACCCAGCACTCAAAGAAACTCTCGTGGCATTTCTTTCCGCTACACTCACACCCACACATGCTTGTGTACAGCAGGAAGAGCAGATAGGGACCTGTCTTTCTAGAAACCTCTAGGGAAAGCAGCTATAGCAGGAAAGGAGGCAGTGTGTGTAAAAGATGCAAATTTACTCATCAATATGCCCAGTATGGTTTCCAGGCTCTGCCCCTAAGGCACCAAGAATTCTCCTGCAGAGGCTGTGCCACTTGGATATGTTAATTAGCAGGAGGAATGGCCACCAGGTGGCTGGCATCGCTGCCCTTGGGCTGAGTGTTCTCCCTGTTTCCTGCTGGGGACTTCTGTGGTGCAGCCAAAGCAGGCCCATGCCACACAGGGCTATGGCACGCTTCTCCAATTCCAGCTCCATCACTCTGGCCTCCACCTCTGAACTGCAAACCCTGCTCACAGCCCCTTCTAAGAAGGCTTCCTGTCTGCCTGCCAGAGAAGTGCCCACTGGGGGCTCCTAGAGCTGTCACCACAAGCTCTGCTGCTGGGCTGGGAATGCCAGAGCTCTGCACCCACAGGGGCTTTGGAAACATGTGCTGAAACACATGGGCCTTTCACACTGTTCTACCCAGAATCAGTTAACAGGCCTGCTCAGTGCTAGGCACAAAGGCACAAAGCCATTCATGTACCTTGTAAAGGAAAATCCATCTTCAGGCTCCACACCCCACCACCAGAGCCCCACTTCACAGGCATGACAGAAACATCTGCACCAGAAACATCTGCACCAGGCCCCGCAGACTCCTGGCATATCCCCAATTAACTCACCCAGGGTCCCCAGGACTGGTGCCTCCTGACTTCCCACCACAGAGGATGTGGTCTATCCCTTCCCTTTCTGCAAGTGGAACCGGACAGAGTTGCTGCCACTCCTCACAAGTGTCCTGGTTTGTCTGGGTAAACGGTAGAAGTCACAAATGCTACTTGAATAAGCGAACGGTGAAAGCTAGGTTTACAGATGGTGCCAGGTGTTAGCCGATGCACTGGGGAAAGATCAAGTACAAGGGACCCGAGGCTGTCCTAAGTCCCACTTCAGTGCCTGCTGGTCGGATAAATGAGTGAGCAAAGGCAGACAGGGACTACTGCTTCTCAACGCAAATAACACTGTTGTTCAGCTTCTGCTGTGAATACAACAAAGTGATTAATAGTGCTTCTTAATTAGCTTTGCAGAGTACTAAGGTCCCCTCTGCTTCCCAGAGATCCAATCTCCATAAACAATCCATCATCGGCCTCCATGGGGACTTTTGTTCAGGAAGATGGAGAAAAGTGAAAATTCATCAGTTCTTCCTTCCAACCCAAGTTCCAGCCTCTAGGTTCTCTGGCGGGACATTTGGGCCCCTGCAGTGGCCTCTTTCCTTCTCATTCTTCCTGACCAGCCCA